GCTAACCGCAGTTGACTACGTGGGAGTCCAGCGACAGCCATTACGCTAACTGCTGGTCCCCGTCACCCCCATTTTTGTACAAATGGCAGCACGCTAACTACAATGGTTTGCACTTTTTTCACTTAAGAATAAATCCTGATATCTTGCCTGAGGAGTAGAAAGCTTTCTTTTTTTTTCTTTGTCAAACATTTCATCAGAATTCTACAGCATGAAGGCTATTTCAGGTGCTATCGTGAAGCTGCCCTGATGGTCCCTGGGCTGTCCCCCACCTGCCCCATGGCCACGTGCACTCACTCACCACCTTCGTGTCCTGCTGGCTTTCCATTCAGCTGTGCCCATGACTTTGGCCCACCTGGCACTGAACTGGTATTCTGCAAGAGAGAGGATGGAAGGCGGTCAGCTCCGCAAGCCCGTGTCCAGTATCAGATGCAGTGAGCGTGCCAGGAGGCCAGCCCCCGAAATCTGAATCCATGTGGACACAGGACCACCCTCACCTTTTAAGTGGGCTCTGACCACATGCACCTGCTATGGACATTCTAATCAGAGCAGTGACCGTGTCAGGCGGCCAGCCCCCAACATCTCAACCCATGTGGACGCAGGGCCACCCTCACTTTCTAAGTGGGCTCTGACCACATGCGCCTGCTATGGACATCCCAATCAGAGCAGCAGCCCCAGAGACCGGGAATGAGAATAGGACGAGGCAGGGGTGCCTGGCTCAACGTCCTGAGGCTGGTTCTACTGCAAAGCCAGGACTCGAACCCACGCCTGCCTCCATGAGTGCCCTGGAACGCTCTGCTCTGTCAGGCTGCTTCTTGTGCCCACACAGCTCCTTCATCTTGCTCCAGAGGCAAAAGTCAGCCCCACTCATAGCACATGTCAGACCCTGCGTGCGGCTGTGAGCGAGCCAGGGGACACGGACGCCGGAACCTCAAGTGCCTGGTCTCTCACTGGCTGGGCAGGGTCAGCACTTCCAGTAATGATGGTGGCTTCGCGAGGCTCCTTGAGAGGGAGGCCCCACTCAGCCTGGGCCTGCCAGCCACGGCTCCATAAGGGCCCCACTGAGGCTCCTTGGGGGCATGTCAGGCCCAGCACACTCGACTGGACTGCATCCTTGCCACACCCTGACAAGGCTCAGGAGGCAGGGACTGATTCAGACACCCGGCTAGAGCAGCAGGACCAGGACTTGTCCCTCGTCCTCCTCCAGGTCCCCAACCAGGAGCTCATCTGCTCCCCCCCAGCTGTGGGCAAGGACAGCAACGAAGCTGCAGAGTTCCTGGCTGGCCAGATTAAAACGACTGCCCTTTCTAGCCCAGCTTGCCCCCTCCCACCACCCACCACCCATACGAGACAGATGGCCTCCATGCCTCCAGCAGGGAGCAGACCACACACAACCACTCAGCTCTTCATGCTGAAGGGCTCCAGGAGCCCACACCAGGGCGGAGCAGCGGGGCAAGCAGTCAGTGCGAGTGAGTGAGCAGGAGGGGGCCTGGGGACTGGCTTCCCGACACGCAGCACTCCCAGCCCACCAGACGTGGATGGCCCCGTCCCACCCACTCCCAAGGCTCAGAAGTGCAAGTCTCCAGTGGCTGGGTCCAGGCACACCCACTTCTACCAAGTGCAAGGTGAGGCTCTCAGGTTGCGCTTTGTTTCAGAGTTGGGACCATGGGAACGGGTCAGGTCCGCAGACTCTGCGAGCGTGATGGGTTCCTGTGGGTCTAAGCCTGTAAGTACGGACCCTCACACGAAGCGGATCCTTCTTCCTCATCTTCTTTCTCATCTTCCTCTGTGCTGGGCAGGGGGAGTCCCAGCACAGTCATAGACCTGCCCACACTTGGTGAGGGGGATGGGGCCTACCGAGTAACACAGCCCAAAAGGACTAAGTTCGCGTTGCTGTCAGAGAGCTGGCAAACACTGCGGATTGCTGTCTGCCTTTCTTCTTGTCTTCTAGAAAATTCATTGACTTTTCATCTGGATTTCTAGCTGCCAGCTAGGGCTATCCTGCTGCTCTGCAAGCCCAGGCCAGACTGCGGGACTAAGCGCATCACCGACTTTAACGTGGTCAAGCATCACTTGCTGTTTAGAAAAGCATTTAAAATCGTCAACACATAAAAAGGATCATCGTTTAGCATTTCCCAAAGCGTGTTCTAAGAGACATCAGTCCTCAGACACACCGAGCTAAGCGCTTCCCAGGACGGATGCAGTGGAGTGCCACCACAGCGGCCCCTCACAGGGGCAGGCCAGGTCAGCCTGCGGCAGCACGGTCCGCCAACGAGGCTTGTTTTCCAACTTCCCTGGCCACCGAACCTCTCCGTGGCCCGACACTTTCTTTGTGCCTGCTTCTGACAGTAGTTTCCAC